AAAAGTTACAACTATGCTAAGATGCTCAATGGATGAACTATTCTGCTATTAGTTGATCAATATATTGAAGAGATAGCATACAAAAGATGTTTTAACTTCTCTATGTTCTTGCCTCTCTTCGAAGGTGAAAAGACTCTATGATATTTGATTGTACCGAACGTTATGATCCTATTACTAAACAGTGGGCAGCTGTAGCATCTATGAACCATCCTCGCTGTGGACTTGGAGTGTGTGCTTGTTATGGTACCATCTATGCTTTTGGCAAGTCCTTTGATTCTACAGAATCCATTACCTCCTTAAGCTAGGGGCAGAGTTTCATTAGTGTTGTATACTGTAGAAAATAGGAATAACTCCCAAACATGTATGGTAGCAACTAACTAGTAGCTTCTCTGGTAAAGTATCCTTTTTTCAGTAAAAAGGTAAAGGGACCCCTGACCATTAAGTCCAGTCGTGACCGACTCTGGGGTTGCGGTGCTCATCTCGCTTTATTGGCCGAGGGAGCCAGCGTACAGCTTCCGGGTCATGTGGCCAGCATGACTAAGCTGCTTCTGGTGAACCAGAGCAGCGCACGGAAACGCCGTTTACCTTCCCGCCGGAGTGGTACCTATTTATCTACTTACACTTCATGCTTTCGAACTGCTAGGTTTTTCAGTAGCCAAACGCAAACGTTTTCCTTCAGTAAACTCTTGAAGATTCCAAACCCTGGAATATTTGTTGGTGACGTAGCTGAGAGCTGCCTTGCCTACAACTTGCTTGCTGTCCTGTTGGAGTCTCCAGACAGTTTGCAGATAAATTAAGCTGCAATCCTGTCCTCTGGCTTGCAGCAGCAGGGCTTGATGGGGTGGTGCAGCCAGTGCTACATCTATAGCCCTGGAAAGTAGAAATGCAGAAAAAAAGCCCTGAGGGGACAAGGGAAAATGTGCAAGAATAAATCTTGGCTCAGTAATTTGCCTGGATTGGGCAAATTGTTATCATGTGATAGCAGCAGGGTTGGCTCAGGATCCAATGGATCCCATGCTGGCTCAGCCCCTTCCGCATTTGGGGGGGTTCAACGCTAGCTGTTGCTAACAGAGATAGTGAGATAACTCATGCAGCAGAAGTTGCCCCCAGTTACTGTCACCACACAGAGGCAGCTTATGGTCCAAAATAGTTTACTGCTGCAGAAAATCAGGCTTCAGTAATACAGCCCCGGACAGCCTGTAGGCTTTGTAGATAGAGATATGTACAAATAGAAAACATTTATGTTGCTCTAGCAATCTGGCCTTCCAGATGTTGGGTT